CCCCAAAACCCCAAAACCCCAAAACCCCACTCGAGAGTTATAGTTAATATTTTTATAAATCGAAATCGAGAGATAAAATTATTGAATTGAATAAATTCTCTGATATTGAGACTCATTGAACAAAGACTTCTTCACCTGATGATCTCTTGTTGGTAAGTTGTCCAGTGAGGAAGGAGTCTAACATGAATAGGGCATTCTCTGGCTAGTCCATAGGAACCATATGACCGGCATCATAAACTCTTAGGAATTTAAAGTTCTTGAATTCTTTAAGTTGACCTGCTGGCTTACCATTGACAGTCCATTCTTGGTAAGGGGCACTGTTGAAATCATTTTTGCCTGACCATTCAACAGCGTTGGTCCAGGCTTCACCACCTCTCCAGTTGCAAACGAAATCTTTGTCACCTGAGTAAACAAGAACTTGAATGCCACTTTCAATGACAGCTGATACTTTAGATGCAAGGTTGGTAACCCAATCACCAAGCAAGAAAGTGTGGACAGCTTGTGAGCACTCAGTCCATTTTCTACCTGATACTCCTAGCTTTTGTTGGACGCTTTCAGTGTTAAGGAAAGTGTCTGCATTGCTCATATTATAGCATAGAGGTGGGACATCACATTTCTTTCTGTAGTCATAGACGTTGAATGCTGGGTTGAGTGGGTTTCCAAGGATACTAGTCATTAAGAGTTGGCAGTACTCAAGGGCAAGTAGCCAAACTCCTGACTCAATAGTCTTTTGGCATGATGCAAAGCCAGCCTTAAGGATATAGTATTGAGTATCACCTATAAGTTTGTTTTCATGAGCGAATTCAGCATATTGAGGATACTAAACGATTGGATCAACCCAACCATTACCAATGGCAATACCCTTGAAGGTGACTGGCAAGTCAGTGACATTGTGAGTGAAGTAATAGGCGATAGCTGGGATGTAATGGCCAGCATAACTCTCACCAGTAATATAAAAATCTCTTCCCTTGAACTCTGGGTTGGCTTGGACGAATCCATCAATGAAACTTTTCATGTTTTCTGAGATTTGTTCCTCGTTAGTGTCGTAGTGGGTTACACTTGAGCACTTTGAGAATCCAGAACCAACTGGCTGATCAACATAGAGCAAGTTGCTGATTTTGTTCCAACCAGCAGCATGAGGAGCTAAGGTCATGTTATCATTAATGGTATAAGGGCCGTTTTCGTAGAAAATAGCGATCTCTGAGGCGCATCCTGGCCCTCCAGTTAGCCACATGACTAGTGGGTCAGCAGTAGGGGTTCCTCTTGACTTGAATAACCAATAGAAGATATCGTCTCCGTTAGAGAGATTAACAAGACCTGACTTTTGATCCTCATCAAGGAAGAGATCGTCTTTGACAGCCAAAGCACTGTGTCCTATGAGAGCAAGGACAGCAGCTGAAAGTAGGATATGCTTGTGCATTAATTAAATTATTATAAAACTAGCTGTATTAATACTTTCAAGTTATTTAATTAATCATATTTGCTAGTCTTATGCTGCACATAGGGGTTTTGGGGTTTTGGGGAGATCGGAAG